GGGTGCTAGATTACTGACACCACTCTGTTCGCACTTAATGATCACAGCGAATTAGCAGAATACAGTCCTTCCAGATACAGCAACTTTGTGCCTTTGCTAAATTAGCAACAGCATGTTAAAGTAACTTCTGAACCTTTTTAGTATTATAGATCTAAGCTACTGCAACCTAGTAAACCCTTTCTTAGGTTTAGGTTTTCTTAGGTAAGTCACTTAGTCCCAGCGCTGGCTTTCTCATTTCTTGGTGAGAGGAAAGTGAAAAAGGAAGCAGATTTTAAATGCATTTTCTACTTTCATTTTTAATCCTAGGAGAGAAGGATGCAAGCTCTAAGTCAATTCGTCAAGTCCTGTCGGTTATCCTGTCAACATTATCCTAGTACTTTAAGCAATGGGAGGGTAATCACTTGATGCAACAAATGCAACACTGACCAAGGTCTTCATTTTGTGCGTGACTTCTAGGTTAAAATGAAAAAGGACTACCAGCAGAAAAAGATGGAAAAGGGGACCAGTCCACGAAAACCCAGCATCACCCTCAGTGCCTACCAGAGCAAGTGCATCCAAGCTGTTCTGAAAGAAGAGTAAGTTAAAACTTGGATCTTCGTATAGACGTTAGGTGCTTGGCACTAACGTAAGCCAATTCCAAGCAGGCTATAGGTGTCCATTACTATTTTTCTAAGAGGCTTTTTTCCAGAAAAGCTTCAGGTACATAGCTACGCAGACTTCAGAAATCTGCAACATCTGAAACAAAACTGAAACAAGTGCCCTCAGTTCTTAGGGAAAGGCTGCATGTCCAATTACTACAGCTAACCTTTTTGCCTGGTGAATTTTTTGCAACTTGTAAACAGTCACAAAACTGTCAGCGCTATTCAGAGTTAGTATAGTCAGTCTGTCAGTACAGGCGTAGGTGGTTTCAAGTCAAACATTAATGAAATCAAGTGTTGAAGAATGTAAATCTTACAACTATTCTCAGAATGGACAACTCGCAGACATCAATAGTAGGAAGGAATACAGATGAAGTGCTACAGCCACACACCGAGTTCATCAACGTGCTTGTTTTTTTCCTAGGTTAGGGCAAGAGATTTTTTAATTTAGATGTACTTTTGCTGAAACGCTGCTGTGGGATTTAAATGTTACCAGTTTTCAGGAGCGAGTCTTAGTGACACTGATATGGATTTAAGGGAGACCTCAGGCAACTACTTGTTCAGTTTTATGCCAGTGAATTCATCTAGGACAGCATGTACCAGGTCTTTGTTTTATTTAGCTACAGCTGTGCAATCTCATTCAAATTTCTACAGGGTAATTTAACCCTTATGCTGCATGAGGGGGCTGATTGATGTGCCAGCTGGAGCTTGTAGGGCTTGTCTTGAAGCATAAAACTAGCCAGCTTGTGACAGTAGCAGTGGCCACACCAATGCTGCTATTAAAAGAAATCTGCTTTTTCTCTGAGAATCCTTCAGCAGCCTGTATCCAGCCCATTATTAACAAAATGACTTGCAACAACATTTCCCTTTTCTGCTTCTAAGATACAAAGTATTTTTCCTTCGTGATTGCTCTCAAACGACTTTCAGCCTTTCACTTAAACTCATTTTTCTTGCAGGGGCGAACACATAAGGGAAATGGTAAAACAGATCAATGACATCAGAAGCCATGTGAACTTCTAACACGTCCATGACTAGATGAGCTTTAATTTTCCTTGGTATTCCCTTTGTATATTTACCATTTGTAAGTTGAATAATATACATTTTACTTATTCATATTATTTTGTAAAGACGGGCTGTGAAATAAAATACGTTTGATAAGACTCCTTACATGCTGTGGTTTTTTTGCTTGTTTGTTTTTCCTGGAAGGAGATTGTGCAGTAGGTATTTTAAAATACAAGTATGTTATAATTCAATACTTACAGCTAGCCCATTAGTGCTGAAGGGTATTACTGCCTCCGGAAAGCTCCCTAGGGTTCTTTTGGGAGGAGTTACCTATCACTGGTCCATGGCATGGTTACTGTACTGCTGGGGAGGCCTGTGGCAGAAGGCAGAGTATAAAAACCAGAGAAGCGCACACACTTCATCAGCTCTTTTTTTTTTTTTTTTTTTTTTAATTTGGAACACTTTCTTCATTAAGGACACACCTTCAATACAGTTAACAAATGGTTACACTTGAATTCTGTAGACAGCAGAATTCTACATCCACAGTTGCACAGGACACCAACGGCTTGGTTCACTGGAATGCAGTATTAACTTCCAAACACTCAGTTTGCCTTTATCAAAAGGTGGCTCTTGGAGTATGTTATTAAATTAAAAGGCCAATTGTTTCCCTGCTGTAGACAAACTTTAGTGGGCAATAAATAACTGTTGCCCCCCACCTTAAAAAAAAGGTTATATGGTCAAGCTCAGTTTTGAAAAGTAGTACTGCACTGCTACAAAAGTGGCACAGTAAGAGGTGCCAAAATAAAGCTGTAAGGAAAGGAGGGCTGCTATTACCGGTTAGGTAACAAGGTTATCAGACATGCTGCAAGAACACTTTTGTACAGATTAAGACTATACAAGTATAGGAATGCATACAAAACTTGATCCTGTCCCTTTTACAGTCTACATGAACCGAATCCAGTTTTCTAATCCACTTGCCCTATGTATTTTAGCTGACACAACAGGTTAGATGTAGTGCTTGTTAAGAATCTCTTACTAAGATGTGAGGAGGACCAACCACCCTACTCAAATCAAGCCCCAGAATGACAAGAGCTGGAGGGATATCACTGATTTTTTTCCAGCTATCTTGTGAGCAATACCACCATAATCCATCCGGGGAAGATCTACTGCAAGAGCTTTCACATCACTTCATTTACACTGCTTTGAATTTGCTCTACAAATTTGGCACACGCTTCTTTAAAGGCCACTTCAAATGTCTTATTGAGTTCAGCAGAAGCTTGAGTTACTAACTTTGAAGCTGAGCTTTCCTTCCCCAGGAGGGAGAGCCCCTCTGGGTAAGCAGGACAGCTGTTTGTAGTGAGCACATCTCCCATCACTTCTGTGAACAGTCAGGTTTCTAGCTATTAAGCACAAAAAACCAAAAAACCCAAATCAAAAACAAATCATCAACCCTAACTTGCATGGATTGTTGAAAAAGGTCACTCTTACAGTTCAACGCTAAACTAAAACTGTCATACAGAGCTAGTACTTAAAGAGAACTGAAGAAGTCAGGGTGTATGATGGAATACGGTGGTAAAAAGGAAGACAGCCATACCATAATGGTATACCCTTCCTCTCCAGCTCAAAAAACAAGTTACTCTACTGCCTCATGCAGTGCCTGGTTTAAAAGCAAGAAAGAGAGCAGCCAACACAGCCCCTTCCAGCTGGGTTCGCATCTCGAGTCCCTTCATGCCCTACCACATAATGCCTCCAGCCTCCTCAGACTAGACCAACATGCCATCTCTGTCCGCTGAGAAAATACACAAGCATGCATACATACACACTCACACCCACATGCAAAACACCTATCTGCAATTGCTATAGCTGTTACAGCGTTTATGACGATCACAAACGGATCGCCCACTCACCTGTTTTCCCTACGGACTACAGAAAGAGACCTTGCAGCCACCATTTGAAATCTGATAGTATCACACCAATAATAAAGCCACGTGCACAGTTTGTAGAAATACACTACAGAAACACCACATCAACCCTGCACTACTCAAAACAATCTAAAAGAGTCAGCTAATGCCATAGTTGTTCAAGTCTAAGAGTGGGGAGGTTGGGCTGCTGAGAAAGGGCACTGACACATAGACCAGAAAAGGATGCTGAAGTGCCGTTACCAGCTGCTTTCCTTGCTTTCTGGCCCTGAGAGGACAGTCTAGCAACCTCACCTAAAAGTTCTTTTTCTACATAGGTCTTCAGGTGCATTCTCTCAAGTGTTCAGCTTGCTGAAGAGATTTAGATGTTCATTCTAGTTTTGCCATAAGACAACAGGCTCCCTTAAGACATCGCCGCACAAGTTAAGCATCAGTAACCAGCTGAGAGTTAGTTTTCAGGAAGGAAGGGAATATAGGCAAAAGCTTTTCCAGTCTGCAGCTCCTACTAAAGGCCTAAATTTTATGCATAGCCACAAAAACAGGAATCTAGCCATTCATAAACTAAATGCAAAACATCTGGTATTCAGTTTTATGCATCAGGAGGCAGCTGCTGGCACCTCATGGTTCAGCAAATATTGAGAAAAGTTTAAGGAAAAAAAAAAAAAAAGATGATCAGCTGATGATAAAGAACCTAAGCCACATTTAACTGAATTTCACTTCAAAGTGAAATTAAGTGCCATCTGAAAGATGACAACTCTGCCATCTATTAGTCTGGTCATTAGTAACGCAGGATTATAGAGCTTCTGAGTGTCAGGATTATGAAAGGAATTAATTGCTAGAGTAATGCTTTAAATCTAGCACCACTAAAATGCAAAGAAATGAGCGTTGTTGGTTTTTGGGGGGGGGGGGAGGCTGTTTAAGGCATTCCTCTTCAAAACCACTGGTTCTAATTTTAAGTTTTAGCAGGATTGACGCTACTAAAAATAGGATTTGAGCACCTAAAAAATAGTCATATGCATTACTGTTTGGAGCATTTTCTGTTGCTTCTGGTTCTCTTCACCTTCAAATCAGTAGCCAAGTAGGTAAAGAAAAACAACGAGCGATGGAAGCAAGTCTAAGTTATAAATCCTGGATAGTAACGAGCAGCTGCCTTAGCTTCCTTTCTTCTCACTGAGTCATAACAAGGGGCCAGTTCAAGAACTCCGTTTGCACCACCACTTTTACCAACACCCACAACAAAAACCATCGCCATCCAATTGTGTGCATGAAACTCCAGGAAGTGGAGAAAAAGAGAAGGAATGCTCATGTTAACGTTATACATTTATATAACAAGAAACCCAACCTTAGCACTTGATCAATCACAAGCATTTCTTCCCTCTGCTGTTGTGTCACACAGCGTAATTTAAATGTATATTTATAGAAACGAGAGACAGTGTAGGTGTCACCTCTGAGCAATACCATGATACTGTACTTTAAAGTAAGAGATGCACTGTACTTTTCAAACTAGAACCAGCAGAACAATGCAGTTCCAGTGCATTTTGTGCTCTATGATTGAGAATGCAATCACTGGTACTACTAACCTGACCCAGAAGAGGTGAGTCAAGCTGGCTTTCCTTCAGTCAGTCTTACCTTGACACTTCTGGTCCAGTGCCATCCACTGCAGGAAAGCAGACCTGCGTAAACCCCAAGCCAATGCGCAGACAACGCGTAGGGTTTTTGCGCAGAGACAGGATTACAGGTACCGCTCAGCTTTAGAGATGAGAAAGCTCTGGTTGTAATTCCATGTTTTAAATTAAATTTGAGAAAAGAGATTAAAAAACAGTGCATTTCTTGTGCTTTTCTTTAAACATGAGAATTCAAAGGAAAAAGTTCAAGGAGTTAAGTTCTCAGTACGTCTTTTTGGTTTTCTGGATTAGCATTTATCTGCTTAGGAGACACACAGCTCATTCATGTCCACCACACCTCAGCAGCACTCAGATTCTTCAACACAAAGTCAAATGGTAAAAAAAAAGCACTGAAATAAGATCAATATCCAGTGTCCTGCTAATAAAGTCATATTTTAATATAAAATATTCATACAGCATACTCTACACCTCATTCTCTCTGCTAGCTGAATACTGTTACTGACTATTCAAACAGAAAAACTTCAACCACTTTGCTCTTCAATGTTTTGGAGGGACAATATGGTTTCCAGCAGCTACTTTGATCACAGTAGTGGGGGGAAAGGAAGGAGGGAAAGACAAGGGATAAATGTTCCAAAAATCTATATTAGGTTACGAAGTTGGCTGAAAGAGGGAAAAGTTTTTCAGAACGTAAGGACTGATCCCACTCAGTGGAACACGAAACACCACACTCATTAGTGTTTCCATTAGAAAGTTCTCCTTCCTACACTGCAAGTCACCCTTGTGCTCTCTTTCCTGCCCAGTACGAAATCTTCTCCCCTCTAGAAACAAAACTTAGTCATTGCTCCCCTCTGTTGTCTTCTGCTCTTTCGGTTAGAGTTAAATAATAATTAATGTTGCTATAAAGATGAGTTAAAAACCCCAAATGCAGCCTTGGAGCTTGCTCATCAGGGTGTCATGTTTCAGGAAGCTGATTAATGTCCGTCAGTTTTGTGTCATTGAGGATTGCACGGATTCTCTCCAGGGAATCTGCCTGCCGGATCCGCTCCAACTGCACCTACAGAAAACCAGGAGACACAATGAGCTAGTAAAACGTACTGATGCAATACCATAGACCTGCAACCTGAACTGAGCTGGCAGGCAAAATTAGCAAATCCCTGGTACCCGTGCAAGGAGAAGCAGTATCAAATTATCATTGGCTGAGAAATGCAGGGCTTCACGGGGCACAAATTTAATTTAAGACCAAGAACGGGAGGAAAAGGAGGACAGAAGACAGTTGTGTGTTTAAAATAAAAAGCCAGTTTGGGGGGGGGGGGGTGTTTTAATGTTTCATTTGTTTTATTTAATGTTTCATACTTCATTTAATAACCGGCCCCTGTCATCATACTGGCCTGGGCAATGGGAGGAGATGTGCAAACCAGCATAAACTTTCAGGGAATGGATGTAAGGCAAGTACAGACCTAAATGACAAACGCCTTCAAGTCTCTTGAGATCAAAGTCAAAACGCTTTTGGAGGAACCTTTAAACGTCCCACCTTTAAGCACGTTCCTGTTACTTGCTTTTCTGATAAATGTCTATCTTCAATATACTGGAAAAAGTGCCCCGCAGAACCACGTGAATGTGAAGAGATCACAACTTGGGGGGAGGATTCGAACTTTCACATTCTTTGTATTAGGATCCAGGCTTTCTGTTGAAAGCTTCAGACTCGTGTTTAATTGATTTTCATCTGCTACGCTACCCACACTTAGCCCTTCTGCTCCATTGCTGATATCTAACTTGGCCAGTTGACACCTCATACACAAGTAATACGGGCCCAGGCTCTCCAGTGACAAGGTCAGGAACAGAAATAACCCTTCCCGGCTATCAAGGAACCAAAATCCTCATTCGATACATGGTAATCTCTCCTCTCGTGTATTATGCAGCAGCTCTTGTACTACCCGCAGCGGAGACAGCGCCTAAACCATTGCCCATCAGAAGAGCTAGTCTTGCAGCATGTCTTAGCATAAGGCACTGAAAACATCAGCCCCTAAGACACTAACCTGTAATGACTGCCCAGCAGCAGGAAAGACAAAATGCAGGGGGACAAGACATTTACTTGTAGGTCTACTAAGGTACCTGCAGATTTTGAAAAAGAGCACCTCACATCTTCAAAGTGGTGTATATGTTTTCGCTCCAAGAACTGCATGATCAACCGCTTTAAGAACAGAGGGTGTAAAAACTAACGAGCAGCAATTTCACCAGCCAGGACTATTCAGTAGTCTCCTTTGTACTAGCCGCTCCTCCAGAAACAGCCAGAATAAAAGAGGACAGTTCTCTCTTGGCCATTCAGCTAAACTCTTGTCTAGTAAACAATCTCCAATATTCCTGGTCTTGTTTTCCAAATAAACCAGAAACACTTGACTCCAAAAATTTGCATTTTTAATGGAAAAAACGTGGGGGGCAAGGGACAGGGACATAAAATTCTAAAGGCAGACACTCTGAAGGTAAGCCGAGTCTAACCTGGCTCCCTGAGGAGACTTTTAGTCATCCTGCACACCCTCTAAAACTGCCTCCTTCTTGTCTCTCTCTCTACAGTCAGCAGAAAGAGAGATTAACCTGACAAACTGGAATTAGCCTCGATGAACACCCCTGCCCAAATTCCTTCCTTCTGCCATACAGTATCTCGGTGCCAACCGCAAGTTCTTACTTTTTAGAAGAAATACAAAGGATAGCAAGAGCAACACTGGCAAGGGTAAGACTTTTAGATACTCTAAATAAAAAGCAGTAAAAATAAAATGAAGCAGCACTTCATATATTCAGACCAAACAGGGTAAGTTCCTACCTTTGTACTCAAATATTTGCACCATGATGCATTGCTATCATGGTTACACACTGGAAGAACATCATGAGATGGATAGTGAAACGTTGGGGTCTCATGGCACCCTTATTTACGGCTCTCTACAACTCTATTTAGTACAGTGACTGTATATTTTTTGCTGCTGAGAATGAGTTTGAATCAAGCAATCAGACAGAATAAAATCCTCAACAGGCTTTAATACTAACATTATACTAGGAATACCTGATTAATTAATTACGCTAATAACTCTAAAGATTGTTCATACGTACTGACATAAGAAAATTTACAACCCTCTTTCTTGGTTTACCTAGAGGAAGTAAAGGAACAAAAGTAGCACTTTACAAACTGATTGCACTTCCCTTACCTGAAGCGTCTGAGAAAGCTTTACAAAATCTCTCTGCACTTGCTCACTGACATCCAGTTCAGTCTGCAATCGCTGAGCTTTATTCTTCTCCTCAAACACCAGCTGTTCAAGGTTTGCCTGAAGACAAAAAGATTCTTTATGCTATACTCAAACTGAACACAGAAAGAGAAGAGAAGCCTGTATAAACTGATTAAAGCATGATACTAGAATGAGGACATCTGGTTACACCCAAGAGTCCTGGCAAGAAGTAAAATCAATCACTTTCTGCCTCTGTTTTCCTAATTGCAAAATAGGGGTTAATGCCCAGCAGATAAGCATTCTCAGGATCAAATTAGTTAAAACATGAAAAAGCACATTGCCTCCTAACAATAGTATGCTCAAGGACCTCAAAATAAAACAGCAGATTTCTGAGTTTGAGCAGAGCTTGACAGTAGATGGAAGGCAGTAGTCTCCTGGTGAAAACGTAATTATCTTGCTGTCTGTGTTTTAGTCAAAAATGCCTCAGAAGACAGAAAGAAAGAAAGAAAAAAAAAAAAAAAGAGGGAGGCAGAAATCAGACCACAATTAATTCATCCAACTGCCAAAGTAAGGCTCTTTCCTACAGCAAAAGCAAAATGACATTTATTCAGAAGTCTCGAGGGACTCAAAGCAGGGTTTGGTTAATCAGGAAGTTTTTTACGTGCAGAAGTGTTACTGACATTGGAAGACACAACTTTGGAAGATATATCTACACCAGAACAGATAATCAAAGCAGCAATAATTCAGATCCACTGCTTTACAAGTCTAAATACACAGTGACTGGGGTAGAGATTTAAACAGCACCCCATGGAGACTATTGCACTGTCAGAAAACTAGCTAACATTCAAACATTTCCTTTTCCATTCCCATGTAGTAATACCCTTTGCCCACTAGTTTGATCAAAGATGCATATCTACTTAATAGCCAGGCACCATAGCTACCTTTGCTGCTGTCTCCTTCTTCAGCTGTTCTTCCAGAGTGCTTTTTGTCTCCTGCAGACTCTCCAGCTGCTGCAGGTTTTCCTGTGAAGAACTTTCCAACTGCATAATAAAAATAATAATAATAATAAGTGATTTAACTAAAACATCTGACACTTCAATTTCACAGAGTCCCTCTATAATAGGAAGCATCCAGTCTGTGCGTCTTTCTCAGGACTTAGAAATACTTAGAGAGAGAGATTATTAGGGTGTCTTTCTATCTTTTTCTTGCTGAAGCTGGAGAGAAATAGCCAAAGCTGACATTTAGGTCACAGATTATTAGGTATATTATTAGGTAACCTAATATTTAGGTTACAGATTAATAAAAAGACAAAACACCTGTTAAGTAACAGATCTATGAATGCGGCCCAATCCTACACTGGCATCAAGACAGCAAGTCTGTCCTTCAAAGTCCCAAGTGTGACCCTATTTGTTTCTTCTGAAACGGTCGCAGAGCTATTTACAATACAGTGAGAGCGTACAGTGTCAGCACGTTCAGTAAGAACATTTGCGCAAACACATGAATTGATGTTCCTGCTTACAGAAAGGCAAGATCACCTCCACAAATAAGCCAGCCCTCCAGTATCCCACAAGCACAGACAAAGGAACAGTAGTGTTAAACATTTCAGAGATCTCTACTTAGTTCAGCTTGCTTTCCCTCCCAGTAGTGGGCATACTAAGCATTATACAAAAATATATTTAAAATGTTTCTGACATACACCTCAGAGACAGCAAGGAAAAAGTTCATTATTTCAGCTATGAGGAGGCCGACGTCAAAAAAGATACCGAGACCCTGATAGAATGAGCAGAAAGAAGAATCTAACTCTCTTTGTTTAAACACACACACACACACACACCCCAACAGTGAAAGGGCTCATTACCTGTTCCTTTTCCACTTTTATTCTTTCCAATTCAGCTTTTAAACTAGAAATGGAAGCTGAAAAACAAAAATATTAAAGCTTGAATGCAAGAAAAGCATAATAAACAGGACAGCTCCTGTTTACTTCTGTTAATATTTGAGGGAGAACTAAGTGTACGCCACATCAAAGGTACCTCAAAGGCAAATAAATAATTGTACCTTTGTTTTCAGTTGCACAGCTTGGGTGCATCTTTTATCAAAAATGGACATCTTTGATAAAATGCAGATAAAGCTATTAATTCCATCACTAAAATCTTCAAGTATCTTACTACTTTCTAATATTCCTATTTTGAGACTTTTTTTTACCCCTTGCTCACCTATTTCTTCTTTGCAGTTCTCTATTTCCAGCTGTAGAGTTTCCTCTATATTTTCTTTCAAATATTGTTCAGCTTGAATCTGTTCTTTTAAGAATAAAATCTCCGCCTTAAGTTTCTCCTCAAGATGATCTGCTGCTGTCCGCACACTAATTATGTCTTCTCGATATTTTAAAATCAGCTCACGGAGCTCCTGAATCAATGATTAGCAAGAAGTTTTATTACTGCAGGATCTTTAGATAAAGACAATACTATGTTTTCCAATATACAAGCTACAGACAAAGCTATATTACCCCAAGGTTTGTCCTAGCATACCAGATCTTGCATTCAGAAAGGTTTTGAAGCAGAATTGCTCGTTTTGCTTGGCCATGGTAAGCAAAGAGCTTATAAAGATCTCCACAGGCTTAGGACCACCCCTTTCTCCCATGCTTTTAAACTTGATGTGCTTAAGTGTAAGAGAGCAGGCATGGAAAGCAGGACAAGGCCTACCATTCCTCCGGACTCAGGATTATTAACAGTTCTTAACTGTAAGGTTTGGACAGAAATTAGGGTGATTGACTTAATTTACCGAATCAACACAGTGAAGCCACAATGAGTGAACAATTGTGTGCCCAGTTGCAACATACAGCTTAAACTAGCTGAACTGGGATACGCCTGCCCTCGGCTGACAACAGATCAGCTGTCAGGCCATGATATCTCACTTGTTTCATTATTATCTGTCCGTACCCTAAAGCAGGCTCACCACCACTGGTGGGATAGGACAGCTGGTTTTGTATATCATAGACTTACAGGGTTAAAAATCCAGCTTATTGTTCATTGTGAGTCAGCTTTTTGTTAAAGAAGCTTCTTCCAGGGAGTCCTAGCCACATGCTTTACTTGTGTTAATGATTTTTAAAGGTTTTACCTCTGCAGCTTCTGGCAGAATGAAATCTTCAGCTCGCTGTAAAGACACATGCAAGCTGTGTTTTCCTTGAAGACTCTCATTATCTTTTTGTAGTCTCACCAACTCTTCTGAAACCTGTTCCCTTGACTGCGTCAGGACAGCCTACAATGTAAAGAAAAGCATGAATTCTCACTTCAGGTCAGAACTCTTCATGCCCCATTTATCATACTTGCTGCCATAGCTTTCAAAAGTCTGGTGAATTAATACTTTTTGTAAAGAAGGGAAACAAAATGGTTGTGTGGATCAGCATGATCTGGCCTCTCCTTAGCCTGATCTGTGCACCAGAAATAAAAATCAAGATGAAATTTAACTGCACAGGCAGACAAGAGAAAGCAAGCTATAAACACAGCATTGTCGTATCTCCCAGTTTTCTTCCATATCTATCCATTAGCTAGCTGTGCTCATGGGGAAAAAAAATTATATATGGTTTCTGGAGCTGGCAGTACTGTTTATTAAGATCACCCAGCAACTCAGCTGTATGTCAGGTTATTGAAATATCTTAAACATTCAATTTGAAATTCTCAGTGTTAGGTATCTGCCCCCCACTCCCCACTCTGCTGCATAAGGCATAAGAGAGGAAAAAAAAGAAGAAACTTGATCCCAGTACAGAAGGGAATGGGTTGCTCTCAGGAAGTTCGACTTTGCTCTGTCCTAGACAATGAGGTTCTATTCCTGTCCTTGGACGTATTTCCTACAAGATGCTCTAAACAGTTCAAAACAGGTAACTTTCCGTACATATCTCTAGCTGGGTGTTAGGGCTCATATTTTGAAATCTTATTTGTAAGAACACTTTGAATTCATCTCAAACTGATGAAAACGTTAACTAGCATTTGTAAGCTCTTTCATACTGTAGTGATCAATCTTACAAAAAAAGTGCCCTGAGAAAATTTATTCTGCCTTCAGATTTGGGATAAAATAAGATATTAAATGGGTATAAAATGTACATAATAAATGAGGAAAAAAATAGTTGATTAGTGAGATCCATATTAATTTATGTGCATACAGATATAAGGAGCCTGGCATAAAACAAACAAAAACCACCCTACCCAATCATGTAATCATCAGATAATAGGCTGTACGCATAACAATGTAAAAAGATAAGGTTGAATAGAAAAGCTTGTTTCTAAGTGTTCCTTCACTTTGAGTGCTTGATTCTGCAAATTTTTTTTTTTTAAACCCAGCAGTCACCATATGAAAGCAATACCCATTAAGCATATATTCAAAATATCTCATGGTAGATCATAGCTGTCACTGAAGACATAAGCTTCACCACTCCAGCGATGCTGCCCAGTGATGAAACTGCTCTCCCAAGTGCTGAGGACTACAGAGACTGAGACCCATTCTTTAAGGGGAAGGATGCATCAAGGGAGAGTACGGTGCTCATGGTAGCTGGGAGGCGACACTTGCCACCGTAAGTTTAAGGACTAAGACAGAATGTAAGACTAAACTCCAAAGGCAGATCTTCTCCCACAGAGCCCGAACCGTAACAGCAACTTGGGAACATGGCAGAAAGGAGTGCCAGTGGGCTTTAAGAAGCTGTGTGTGCAAGGTCTGTTGAGCAAAGAGTGTTAGAGAGTAAGCCTACAAACCGTTCCGGGATCTGCACTCGCTATCAAGCTAACAGGTGAAGATACTAAACAAGTGAAAACGCACGGCTCTCTCTACTCAGACTTGGTTGGTGTGCAAGACAAACAGTCCTTTACAAACACAGTGAGCTCCCAAGGTTAGACAAATAGCATTGTCAAGGGATCTTGGGGATTACGCTGTCTTACCATTTGCTCCTGGACACTTCTCTTTGCTTGGGAAAACGCCTGCTGCAGTTCGTTGAGGAAATTCTCTGACTTTTGACATTTAGCCATAAGCGAAGAGATCTTTAGGGGAAAAAAAAACCCACACAGATAAAGGACATGAAACAGATTTTGAAGAAGAAATAAACACTGAAGTTCTGTTCCTCCTTATCATCACTAACATATACTTGGAAACTTCAAATTCATCCACTAAAATGTCTTTCATTAATGGCTTACTTGGTAAAGCAGTAAGACAGCTCAATCAGTAAGTAGTAAAGTGATACTATACTTTTATACCAATAATATATTAACCTTCTATTTACAAAACCCTAAATAAGAAACAGTTAATTCTAATCAAACTCAAATATAAGATAGTTCAGAGCCAGTGAAGGGAAACTGTAAAGCTGCTACCTAAATTTTTGGCATTTTCTTTAAAATAAAGTAACTTTGTACTCCTTTCACTGAACACACAGATTTTCAGAAACGTTGCAATTAAGTTGCTTCACAACAAGGCATGCTTAACAGCATGATTAAACATTACTTAGTAAGAGCATGCTAATATAGCCAAAAGAAAAATCATCTCCATGTCACTGGAGACCAACTTTGTCTAATGACTCCTACTTCAATAGTAAGACAAAATATTGCATAAGAGGGAAAAAGGAAAGTCTTCCAGCTCAAGAGAAGCAAATTCAAAGTCTTGTATAAAGTATTTCCCCGATATCGTGATCTGTAATAGGCCTAAGCTGACTCTTTTCTTTGTTTTGTTTTGTTTTCTTCCCTACAGCTATGTCTACTGCACATACTCTTTGGCTCCATTGAGCTAGGCGAGCTATGTATGCACCCCAGACTGAAAAAATCTTTATGCCGGGCTATTACTTTAAACTATCATCAGTCTAGTGCATATTTTGAAGTACTAAGATACTCATTAACTAAGCGTCTTCACCACTAATCCATCAATTGTGCGTCAAATATTGATGTGATTAAGTGGTATGAACAGTAACACAGTGACCAAGAACACAGGGCTACTTTCACACATTACTCAAATTCCAGGGATAATCCTGAAATACGTTATGCCGGTTAGCAGAAAAAGAGTCTCAGATCTAACAAAGCAGACCACATTTTAAATAAAACGCAATTCAAGGTGTCTGCAAAACAGATTTAGGTTGCAAAAACCTTAAGCTACAGAGAGAGCAGCACCCCTAGCTAAAAGGGCCTCAGGTCATATCCTAAGCAAGCTATAAAATAAGCTAAGAGAAAGGTATCTTGCTGAAGAACTAGGAGGTTGTCTAATAGCATAAAACAAACAGAAAACATCCTACAACCCTTCAACTTGGACCACAAATTTAGTAAATTACTACAGAAATTTATTCTGCCATTGTGACACCTGACTTCTTGACATCTTATTTGAGAAACATGGCTTGGACATTAAACTAACAGTCATAACTGAGTCAAAAGAACCGAATCAGGAGATGCAACTTTAGAGCCAAGACTGGGTAACATGGTAAGTCTGGCAGGTTTCTATGATCTGGAAACTGCAGCAGACTGTCAGTTAGACAGCAGGCAGTCAATCACATCCAGTGCCAAGAAAGAGTTCCTGTCACACACAAGGAATCATGAAACATTATTCAAAAGTAACATTACAAAATGTTTGTACCTGATTAGAGGAGTCCTCAGCACTTTGTTTCATGTAATCCTCCAACTCCTGTTTATCTTTCATTGTTTTTTCCAGCTGGTCATTGGCCTGCCTCAGCATCACCTGCAGCTTTTTCACCTAGGTTGTTACAACAAAATAATTTAACTTTCCATTCTTGGGATGGGAGGGAGGGTACTTATTCCCAGAACATTAATATAACCCATCCCACCCTCAAACAACAAAACAAACCCCTCAAAACCCTTTGCAACCCCAAAAGCTCCTTTATTGTTCTTTTGAAAGAAACACCTTGCATCGCAGATTGTACTTGTATGGAAACATAGGACATCAAATTGTACTGGACCATTGCCATGTAAAGACTCCAATCACTGATTTTGCAGCAGAATGTGACTCATGCCTTTCCTACCCTTCTGAAGACGGTTCAATACATGGTAGGGAACAAAGTCTCCAGTACTTTAGAGTCATTTTATGCTGCTAGGATGAGCGCCTCTATTTTTTCCTTTGCTGTTAACAATTCTCACAGTATCAAAGAAAGCAGAACTTAACGCATGAAAAGTGTTTTAGAACATCAGTTATGAAGAATACTGACTTCTGCGTGAGCACAACACTTTTTATAGAGCAGGGCCGCTCTTGCAGAATTTTATAGCATCACAAAGTCACTCCCTGTGGTAAATATTTAAGAAATATGTATAGGCAGAGTCCATGATCATAAACAAGCAGTAACAAATCAGATTACATCCGTAAAATGACATAAGTTATCCAGATTTTATGTATGTGGACATCCTTCAATTAAAACCAACGAATAAAACAACAGATGGTCCGGTGTTGCATCCTTAGTAATTCCTACAGCTGTAAAACTCTTGCTAGAGCTGGAAGAGAAATCCCACCTGGTCTCTTGTCTCAGCCTCCTGAATCTGGATCCCTTGCAACTGCTTCTCATAATTCGAGCACATATCACAGCGCCTGCCCAGCTTGTTCCCAGCGTTCTGCACCTTACTTGTAGAGTTATCACCTGCCATAAGGGTCATAAACTTTCTGAGGAATGCAGGAGGGCTGTGTACTCTCAGGTGTGTTGTATGATCACAAAAATATTATGCATAAAAGACTGTGGCAGAATCATAGAACGGCAAGATTAAGCTACTCTAAAACTAAAGGGCAATGCAAATCAGATGCTGTATATCCGCTTTTCCTGGCATAAATCCCACTACTAGCACAGGAGCAATAAGCCATGACATGCAAGAGTTTATCAAGTCATTCAGTGTGTCCTTTTGAAATATAGTGCTTAATTGTCTGTATAGAAATAGACATCTCGGAGAAGAGATTTCTACAGGCTGTAGCATTTTTTCATGCAATTACATTGTATTACAAGTCCCATTATATCCAATATCACAGAGCCTTATAATCAACACAAATCAATTAAAAAGAAAGTCAGTTCACTGGGTCAGGATTTTCTTCAGAATCTTTTTCCCCCTATAACTGAGCTTTGAACATTTTTGCAATGGCATTTACTAATTTTGTGCTACAGCCACCATCAGGTTTTATTTATTTTTTTTGTAAGTACCCTCCTCCAATATTGCTCAGTATCAGGGACTGAATAATCAGCTAGAAGAACAGTTGGTCTGACTCAGTCTGACCTGCACTCAAAAAGAGAAAAAAAGGAAAATAATAAAGTAGAAGATGGACAGGTAAAACAAAAAAACCCCAACAGATAGGAAGCAAAAAGGGTTGGCGGGGGGGGAACGATAACAGAGAATAACAAGGAAACCAACTGCCATTTTGCAATTGTAGTAGTTTCGGCTAAGGGGACAAATGAAAGTTTTTCCAAAGCTACAGCTCTAAGTCGGGTCTGAGCTGGAATCTCTCTTCGCTGCTCCATGATCCTCCCACAGAGAGCGGCATCCACGTGCCCTGCCTGTACTCCTGCCTCCAAAAAATACGTGGGAAGCAGTGCATTTCTTCTACGAATTCTAGGAAAGGGTTGGAGTGAAATGGCATCCAAATGTCAACAGGGCAAGGAAGAACTCAAGAGCAGAGGATTTTAGTCAGCTCGAGATGGCTACGTTGTTGTTTACCTCCTTTATCTCTCTTGAGGTTATAGACTAGTAGCAACACAAAACAATCGCAACTTTACAATAAGTTTGGAGAGATCTTTGCAGAGGGGGTGAATTCCAGTAAGCTGAGGAAATTAAGTATCATCAGCATGCAGTTCTCCACTGCATTCATCCTTTGCCACACGTCCTCCTTTCCCACCTGCATTCCTACATTCTTCTTTTTTTCGCCTTGTCTTCCATTTCACTCATTTCTGATAATGTTACCTTCCTCCCTGCCACTTCTTCTCCCCGCCACCTCTGTTGTTACTCCTTGGCCTCTCTTCTTCTGAAGCAAGTAGTACAGGAGCCACACAACGCTCCTCTCTTCAGCAAAAGACCAAATGCAGGTTTTGAACTGGCATCGTATAAAGCTACTGAAAAACTGACATGCAGAACACCCAGAAGCAACAGTTTTTGTGGTTACCCATAGGGAGAGGGACTGACACTGGCGCAACGTTAAGTCTAGTTTGCTGCCTGTTGCTCTCAAAATTTGGTATGTTATGAAGCAAGTCCCTGACAATTTTCTAAAGCTTGCTCTGTAGTAACCTGATGTTATGTGTACCTTTGTTGCTCACTTCTAAAGCGCGCTCCATGCAAAATCCTCTGTAAATACACCGGCTGTACAAAACAGCACCGTAAGCTCTGCTGCTTTTGTTAATCTTTGTCCTTTCCTAGCTAAGCCCAGTTGCACTACAATTTCTTTTTCTCAGATTCCCATTTTCTCCTCGATTTCTCCCATCTTCTTCCCCCCACCTCAGATTTGCAAGAGCAAAGGCTACACCTGCCAGACCCTCCCCTACCACAGGCAGGGACCGCAGCAGACCGGCACGCCGGCTACTCACCTCTTTCTGCAGTAGATTCCACTCTGTCTCGCTAACCAAGCGGTAACCGCTAGGGGATACGTAAGCACTTTCTACCCCTTGTGTAACACTGGAAAGGAGGGAAGCAGTCTCTTCTTGCTCTGGTGTCATTGCTTTGATTGCTTTTTCCTGATCTTTGGTTAACATGAATCCACTTGGCATTTGCAGAGACCCAAGGGAAGCCGTATCAAAGTTCTCGGACACTGAATCTGCTCCAACAAGCGGTCCAAAATCTGACTCATCCAGGTTCCCAGCAGATTTTGCTTTGTTGTTGTATCCTAAAGCTTTGGACTGTAAAGATCCAGATGTCCCCAGACTGTCTGTTGACTGTGCTCTCCGTAGTCCATCCTTAAACATATCGTTATCCGATTTATTGAAAGACTCACCAGAAGACAGAAGCAAGTCTGCATCCAATGAATGGACCGAGCCATGGGTGCTATTTAAATGCACCTGCAATTGAAAAACAAGGAAGAAAGATTTGTATACTCTGTTCTAGAAGCGCAGTATAAATGGACACTTAGCTGGACGCAAAGTATCAGACATGATAACCTGCAGGTTTAAATTGGTAAGAACATCTGATTGCTAACTTAAGGCTGCAGAGAAAACTATACAGAACTGAAGTCTACCAGCTGCAATTTCCAAACAAGTCATCTTTTAAGAGCGCTTTTATAAGAATATGCTTTGCTGCCAGCTCACTTAGCAAGGTGACAGTCACCTTATATCTCTTTCAGCATTTGAAGCAAGGCACTTCTTCCATTAAAGAAGAGACAGACTTGCAAAATGACTCTTTAAACTATAATCTTCCAGAATGAAGTTTAGAAAAAGACCAAAAGAATTCACCTCCTTCATAAATGGAAAATGACGTATTTAAAATCTGCTCTGTACTGACAGGTGAATATTCTTCTTCCATTTCTTTCTTCTGTTATGGTCATCTGACAAAATAGCCTAAAAAATATTTTCTTATGACATTTAAAAGCTCATTTGTACATAAAAGAAAATGGAAGGGAGAAGGTTGGGCTTCAGTAGAAAAGCACACTAGACTGTGAATACCAAAAGCTACGCTGGCTTGTGACTTGCGTAAGGAACACAAGCCTCAATTTGTTTTTTTACACAAGTCTCAATCTATTTTTTTATTTACTTGTTGCACTGAAAAACGGAGCAGTAATGTTTTATTTAGGAAGTATAAGACTGCTTTCAAAACACCTTCCCACCTCTTGTGCTCTCATTTTGCTATTAGACACGTGAAGAAAATAACACTGAAAGTGTCTTGAGAAAAATATTATAAGTCCAGCACAGACTAGCAGGTGGCTAAAACTTCCATGCAGGTGCTTAAAATAAGGGATCCTTTTCTTTCCTATAGCTGCAAGAGTCTGGTTCTGAGGGTATTTTGAAATATAGCAAGAAAAATATCTGAGTCAAATTTTTAAGGACAGTGCAGATACACAAAAGAATGGCAGTTATTTTACTGAATAAGACACACACAAAGCCATTCTTTGTTACTCTGTCCACAGCCACAGACTTCAAATTGTATTTAAAAGTATCCCCACGCTTGCAGACTTTGAGCTTTAACTGTCTCAAGTTTTCACAGGAATCACTGAAAAACTAAACACCAACTTTGAACGTTACAGGCAGATTAAACATTACTATGACGTACCTATACTACTCTATATATTTAAAATTCATAATTAACTATTATGCAATTATTGTTTTTATGACTGTTGTAGAAATGCTTTACTTGAAGCATTTTTTTTTAAGGCATGACATTTTTACAATGTAAATTTTAAAATGTAAATACGTGTGTTGAAGTAGTTCATAGCGAGTCAAGACAACATGAACTTGCAGACAATTGCGTCTTCGGACAACGGTTGATGACACGGTTACATCATTTGTTTGCATTTGCAAATGGGAAAGCCTTATCAAATGGTCAACAAAGAGCTTACAAGCCAGGGTATGACAACTGTAGGACATGACTGATAAGAAGATTTATTACCTCGTGCAAAACACGTTTGGTACGGCTAAAAAAGGTCATAAATAACAACCAAAAACAAATTCATAGACAAAGACAAAACCACTCTGGAAATTATACACCCTTACTCTAAATGTAAAACATTCCACTACATATAATTCCTAGAATTAAATAAATGCAGTGCTTAAGAGACTAAAGCGCGTCCCAGGAATTGAGATTAAAGAAAACGTCAGAAGACAACCCTTTTGTATTAAAAGCTCTCATTTGCATATCTGGATACAGAAGTGTTGTTAGTATTCAACACAGTACTTGAAATTGACAGAAAAAAATAGTATCCTTCCTGTAAGATAAAGGGTAGAACCAAATCTCAGCTATGCTTGGAAGTTCTGATTTTGAACATCTTTCGGCATTTTGCACTATTTCTGAAACAACATCTCATCCTGCTACAAATCGCTGATAAACAATATAGGGCAGATTCTGGAATATATACATGTTTTTCCATTTAAAAAGGGTAAACAAAACAGGCAAAAATTCAGTTCACACTGCAACTTCTCAAATCTCCTGAGGCTTACATGAACTTCTATAGCACAAAACTGAGTTTTTTTTTTTTTTTTTTAAAAACTAATTTTTCCCCACTTCAAGTTACAAAACCAAAACGGAACCTGTCAAATGATCAGATAAACAGTCAAAACACACAGAGAGGGGAAATAATTGCCAGTTTCGATGTTGTTTCCAAGGTCCAAGCTGCATTCTCATTGGATTTGTTTATTCACAAATGAAAAGCTACGGCAATTCTCACATACAATTTCACCTTGACCAAGTATATGACTTTCTACAACACAAAAAAGGCTGGCTAATGACATCCAGCAGTATCACTTTTTCTGGCTGTTATAATGAGTTACTAATACACCACAAGCAGCTTCAACAAAAAGTTGGTGCTGAGCCCCCGCTACTGGCATGGCTAAAGCAGCTTATTTCTGGCTGCTGAACATTATGTGGCCAAAAACCTCAACTTGCATAGCTGGCTGAAGCTTAACACACACATGTGCACACACACAAATACACAAAACAATGCTATTTTACACATGCTAGGCAACTAGCTAACTTAGCAATCAGTGACCACAGACTAGTCTAATCAGTGTAAGTTCAAAACAGAACAGATTAGCAATTACCTGCAATACTGTTGCTAAACATTCAGATTTAATAGATTTACTTCTGAAGATTTAGGTGTGTTACAATGCGGTTATAAAACCCCACAGACGTTAACAACTATTAATATCCACAATGCAAAGGGTAAATTATAATTTTTTATATTTATAAAAGGTATTAAAGTATTGTCTTCCAATCTTTATTTGAATTTATATATTCAAGTGCAACTCCAAAATTTAATTGCTTATTAAGAACTATAAACCGTAGCGAATAAAGGACATCAAGTTTCCATTTGTATTTATAACGAACACCCTGAGGAACACAAAATTTTTCAAAGTTGCTTTGAACTATTCAATTGTTTTACCTCTTCATTAGAAAACTGGGTAAGGGATTCCTCATGGGCTAGAGAACATGAAGCTTTTGTTTCATCATCTGAATCCTTTTGTTTCTGCTCCTTTCTTTTGCTAAGTCTCTGCTGATCATCTTCTTCCTAGAAATCAGTGGTCAATGGACAAAGCATATAAGCAGGATTCATTTTTGTTTTAAGAGCCATGACACTAGCTATCATGATAAGCCAAGCTTCAGAGAAGACACTAGGAAGGATTCATTTGGTTAAAAAGCTAATATTCATTTCACAAGGCACATACGCCTCTACATTGATCTAAAGAACTTATTTTTCACTTTTAGTTACTGATTCATGTTGCAGAATAACTTTATTCAAAAAAAGATATTACTTAGTTCAAAATTCTTATTATAGGAATTACCAAATAGGTAACAATAAAAATAGTTGGGTACACTGGTTATTGTATATAACCTCCTAAGATGCTTGCACCGCTAATGACCCCACTTATACCAGCACGAACATTAAAACCAAATGTGAAAAGTACCTTGATCACACTAAACAATGCAATAGAAGATACACAAAACGACTCACGAAGAAAGACATCAAAGAATTGCAAGTCATAAAGCATGTACACAATCACGCATATAAGATAATTTACTATGAAGCTCTTTTAGCTTATTCCTGAGCAAGGTACACATAGGAAAAAAAAAAAAAAATCTAGAAGTGAAACTTGTCATCCTAACATCCTTAACCCAGTTCTTTTGCATCACAGAAAACAGTTTCTTCCTCCAAGATTAACTTCTAGATATTATTCACCTTTACTTTAACAATATTAGCAATATTATTTTTTAAAGTTACTATATATATGAATATTGAAATATTTGAACAAAAAGACAGCTTCTATTAAAATCATTAGCTGTCATTTTTTGGAACTCTTAACACACTTAACCCAGTTAAGAATAAAATTAAAACGATGATCTGTCCTCTCGTCTCCAGCATGTGCTTTCAGACCCTGGTAGACCATATCAACTCTACAGTCTTTTTCTACAAGAAAGAGGAAAGCAGCAAGTAACCTGATCCTTTTTTTTCAGTTCCTCAACTTGTCGGAGTTGCTCAGAGGTCAGAACAATTTCCATACGTTGCATGTCCCTCATCAGCAAACGCTGAGACTCCAAGAACTGGTCGTTGGCTTTTTGCCATGTGTGTTTCAACTGGTTGTGCTGTTGTCGTTCTTGCTCTAAGAGGTGGCAGACTATTCAAGAAGAGAAAGAGTCAGAATTTTTTTTTAACCTCTTTTCCAAAGAGAAGCATCCTCATGAATAAAAGTAATTATTGCTCTAGTCAGAAGGAGTCAGGCTTTGTTCAACAACTATTTAGGACGAAATACGACATTTTTATAATTTCCAAACCTGGCTTGGGAATAGGGATGTATCACCAAAACTTATGATTTCCCAATTAGAAGACTAACATTGTCACTTTCTTCATAAATTCTCATAGTCTGGTTTTTATTGTCCTTCTTAAAATGATGCCTTGTAAGTTCCTCCTTATTTCAGCAGAAGGTTCCGCTTTTCATTCCTCTACAGTGATTCCGTGCTGTACCGGCACGCATATACATTAACACATCCATTCCATCACCAGGCATTCAGAATTGATGCATTCTGTGTGGGAAGCAAACCCTCACTAGACTGTCTTACAGAAATAATGCTAGTAATTCTACACAAATAAGGAGAGACCAGCAAAATCACTTTAAAAAGAATGAAGCTTGCAACACCATGAATTTCTGACTCTCAGCGCCACCCTTGGAGGGATGGATTTGTTATTTTTCTCCCTCATAAGAGGGCTCCAAAGTCAATTGTTCTGTTAACATTTCAAGAGCTTTCACATTTACATTACTGTTTTTTCCCCTACTACTTTTTTCAATCCAACTCAGAGAAGAAATCAGAGAAGAGATAAGAAACAGCTATGTTGGTTTTTTGCATCCTCAGTGTAGGAGAGTCAAAAGGATTATCATTAGATAGGTACCTTCATGCAGTTCTTTCCGTAACTTCTCTGCATCTTCTTGCAGGACAGATTTTTGTGTATTGAGAACAGCCACATACATCTCTAAGTCTGTCCTACAAGACTTTTCAGCTTCCAAATAATGGTTCAATTCTTTAACCTGAATAAAGAGAGAGAAAATCATCTCAGTGGAGGACAGTCTCAGGCCTCTCCTTTCCTGTTTGGGTAACATACAGCTGCTGAATACAAGTTTATTTCTAGGAATCACAAATATTTAACTACCAGTGAACTAGTACTATTTGTATTTATTTCTGAATAAATAAATTATCTACTCATCAAAATTCTGCCAAATCAAACACACAAGTATGTTGAGAGCTTCAGCAGTTAGATCACAACAACAGTGCACAGAGATGGCAGAGAGGCTAGCATCCGAGACCAACAGACAATGAAGTAATCCTTTAAGCAGCACTGATAAGCCAACAGCTGAACTACTGTATCTGGTTTGAGGTTTTATGCCTCCAAAGAGGAGACAGTTCAAAACAGAGTAACAATAGTCAGAAAACATGACTATGAGGCAAGACAGAACTGAATCAGGGATGCTAGCCTAAGACGAGAGCAAAGCAGAGGACCGAGAAGATAAAAACATTCAAACTCATGAAAGACTGCTGCAAAGAAAAAGGAAAATCCTCCCACAGAGGATGGGATAAAAAGCAATTGCAGTAAGGAAGAATGAAGAAACATATTAGGAAGGATTGGGGTGGGGGGGAGGTTGATTTGTTTAAAAAGAAAAAACAGGAAAAAAAACAGCAAGTCTAACAAAATTGGAACAAAAGGCCTGCAGAGACTGGAGAATCTCCACTGAGAATCTTTTACAACAAGGCTACGTAAGTGTCTGTCAAATATGAGGCTGCCCAGATGGATCCCATCTTGGAGAAGGAACTGGCTAAAGGATTTCTTTTATGGTCCTATGCAGTTTTATGATTTTCTGAGTCAGAAATCACATGAGTTTTTATTTTAAAGGAAGTGAAAGCCTTCAGGCAATTCCTGACTGGCTCCACAGAGTTGTTCTTTATCTTTCTCAGCACAGCCCCAAAGCCACAGACACTAATTCCGAGTTCCAAGATAATCCTTCTGCGCTAACTTGCCATTAATGGTGGGGACAGCTTCTCCCGCCCTAGGATACTAAGCCTTCTGCCTGTAAGCCTGTTAGCTAGCCTTTGAAAGGAGAAATTGGACTCAGAGGATCCCCCTTGGGAAGGATGGAACAGCCTTGCAGGACACAGAAGAAACGCATTGTTTCACTGATCCAGCTAAACACCTGACACTGAAAAACAAAACAGCACGACTCAAAGCAGATCCGAGGGATTTCATCATGACCAAGATAAAACTCAAAGGCGTCGCTCATTCTGCGCAACTTGTCAGTCCTCAGACCAGTCTAATAATATAAATCATCAAAATAATACTTTGCATTTTTATAGGGCCATGGATCAAAGCACTATGACAACTTCCCAACTACGTGTGTGTTTAAAAAGAGACAAGAGGGCAGGGATACACAGAAAAGTTGGATCAGCATCTCCTTGCTGGATACAAAATAGCAATTCTTTCCAATTCAGCTGAGCAGGTGACCAAAACAGAACTATGGGGGAACTCTAGACAAGAGGAATAATGATATAAACTGACTGCAAGTAACAATTAAAGGTGTGAAGTATTTTCTTTGATAAGAATCACTGTCCAAAGCAGAACTTTTAAAAGAACAAACAAACAACAGATCCCAAAAGAAAACAAACACCTAAAATCTCAAAAAAAAAAAAAAAAAAAGGATAAAACACCTGATCTCTTTTTCAAGAGACCTATGTTTGTCTTTTACTCATCCCATTGAGTGACATGCTCAGATCTTAGAGGGCAGGCAGACGCCAGCAAAATTCCTGGTCCTGAAACAGTCAGCTTTATTCAGATAGCCCTTGCCTATAATGGAAGAGGGAGACAAGAGCAACTCCGGATGTTAAAACTAGAGTTAATGGAAAAGTTCCACGCTGCTGTGAAGAAAAAAAAAAGAAAAAAGGAGAGAGCTGAGCAAGAGAAAAGAAAGGATTTATGTTTTCTCCCCCGCCCCAAATTCAGCCTTGCATTGAAAATGAATTAGCATAACAAATCCACAAAGAAGGAAAAAGCTCCAGCATGGTCTGTCTATCAATGCAGTAAAATTGTCAAGACTGTTAAATGAATTCCACTCCTCCCTCAGACCCCAGACAGACCTCCAAGTAGGACTAACAGGGGGAAAAAAAAGAGAAAGAATTTGAGCAAGTGATGAGCATCTATTAGGATTATCTTTTAAAAGAATGCGAGCCAGAAGACCACAAGGAAAAACATCCAAATGCTAGGCTATATTGTAATTTCAGCATACTTGATTTTCAAGATAAAGTATTCATTATAAATGCTATCTTTCTTTCTGTATAAAACAGCACATTAAATGCAACTACCTTACACTACCACTGATATTAGTTATCCTCCATAGCTGATGAGAAAGTTAAACAGGGTTTCTGAAACACCGAAGGATACAGAAATGCTGGGTAAATCACTTGCACTTTACGGAAAGCTCAGATTCATAGAAAGGGATACTGGAAATTGCTGCCAAGACATCAATACAAGATATAAAAAATTCTAGTCATACAGCCTCAGTTTTATGCCCAGGATTAGAAAACAAAATATAGCAGATGCTGGAGGGAAGTAGATTAAAAAGTGCCAAATGCAAATCTTCCTGCGGCTTTAAGCATGACATTAATCTAAAGACCAGACTGTTGGAGAGGCGAAACAAAGCTATTTTTCTAGAGCTTTTCTTCCTCACTTTTATTTCCAATAGAGCTGAATTTATGCAATTTAAGCTAAGCACAGATGAAACACACACGTAACCCGACTCTAAAACCAGAACCACAGCAGAACACAAACAGGCCGAACGTTACTTGCACTCCAGCAGAAGAGACGTACTGCGCAGGAGAAGCTTCGGACTACAACTTTTTCTCTTTAGAAAGTTTGCCGTCGCTGACCTGCGTCAAGCTACCGTGACGCAAGACGCAAATCAGGATACGATTAAACTCCACCTCACCTTTGATGCTTCCAGCTCTTTTATTTTTTCTTCAGCTCCCGTCAGTTTCTCCTTTAGAGCCGCAATCTCCTTCTCCATAGGCATCACAACTGAACGAAGCTTCTCAGCATCTTCCTGGGCCTGAAATTAATGCACTAAGTTACTAATGCATTATCACAGTTTTCACTACGACGTTTTCCATTATGCGAGACATCTGGAGAAAACACCCTATGCCAATACAAACAGCTGACTAAGCTTCCACCCAGAGCGCTCGTCTTACTACGATTTATTGTGTTGGGCAGCCATCTCCACAGCAACAGATCACATTTATTCCATTCATTGAAGGCAGTTGAATTTTAAATCCTGTGGATCGGGCCACAGATATCTGCTTTTAAAGAGACCCTCAGTAAATCTATCACTCTCAACGCTTAGGAGAAAATTTATGAATCTTGCATTTCAAAATGCGTACGCGTTTCTGTTACTGAACCGTCCTGCAACTTGCTGCCGCGTAACACACACGAAACACCCGCATATGACAACAACCGCCTGGTGGGTTACTGACTGCTCACGTACTTCCTCATGAAGTTAAAAAGCAAAGGGATCCGCGCGGTAGCACACGGCATAGCTTTGTTCCGTTTTGGAAACCCACTTTTAAACTTTAAATTACTGCTGATGCAGCATCAGTTTTTGGTGTTACTGCACTAAATACTTCAAAATTTATCTAGAGTCAAGCTATCGCAAAAGCCACGCAAAAGCCATTTTCAAAAAGCAGGTCTGGAAAGATCAAAGTAGGCTAAGAGAACGAGAAGACCGACATGAGAGAACAGAGAAAGAACGAGGTAAAAATAGCAGGAATTACAACAAGCAATAACATTCAGCATTCAAATTCAGCATTGCACAGGGCAGCCCTGACATCCCTGCTCCTTATACGCTCGGACATTCCTTCACGCACGTCCCAAAACCTGTCCAAGTGAAAGCAGCGGCTCCCATAGACTCCGCCGCCGCGAGCAGAACACTCAGAAAACAATTCAGATTCGAACGTTCACCACAATAAAACTGTTTAAGCCACAAAGAACTTAAGCTACCTCGTTTTCGTTGCATTTCGATAGGGAGGTTCAGGCTGCTCAGTTCTCCTCTACCCTCTACTGGCAGGGTTCAGCGAGAAAAAATGAGAACCGCGTCCCAAAACCGCAGCTTCCAAAGATGCCACTTCTCCTGCTCTTATCAGCCAAGACAACCGCTACCCTAGATGACGCTCGTGTCTTGTTTTAAATCTAGACTAGAACACGGGCTTCAGAGGTTACCCACTAGATTTCCATTTTCTGGTCAGTGTGCTAACAACTGTATTCTGAACAAGGCTTTCAACAAGAGATAACAGAAGACTTCAGCAGCTTCAAAATCCATTAAAATAGACAAAAGAAAATAACACTGCCATACCTGGCAAGCAGATGAGTGCTACCAGGCCCCCAAAACCTACTCTACAGATTAAGTTTCTTCATGTTTCGTTCACTTCTGGTGCATTCTGTCACTGTTAGCTTGCTCATCCAAAGAGGACAAATAAAATACGAGAGGAACAGTAAAGGGCCTCACATGACACGGTGAATTCAATGCCGGGGCACGTGACAGCGTCACACACCCCCCATCGCTGGCAGCCAGCCGCTCATCAGTCACCGTCTTTGAGCAGATGGGAGCAGGAGGTCAACTTCAGCGACTGCTCCACATCTCCTTCCTTGCACCGACCCCATTCATTCAAACTGACCTAGAGCGCCCAGCGGTTTTAGGACTGTTTTATAAGCTTTTTCCTAATTATTCCCGATATCTGCAAGAACATATCAGCGCCAGTCTGATTTCACATTGTTCACCACTGCAGACAAAGCAGCAAATTCTTTCGTGCTGGAACCAACCAGTTCCGAGAAGTCAAAGACAAAACCGGACTGTTTAGCGGGGACCAACCGGCAAGACAAAACTGCATGTATCAAATTCCACCTGACCAGGGGGGGGGGGGGGGAATCACTCTAACTTTCACTTCTTTGTGAACAAGGTTTTGCAAATGTTCCCTGCCCCCACCCCAAAAAGGGAGGTGTAGGATACATGTAAAAAGGTCAGTATGACGGTGAGCTGAATACTCCAAACAGCTTACATCTGCTAAAAAAAGAAGTGGTGGCCACCGGGCCTGCTTCCAGCCTCCCGTGAATTGAGGTAAAGTCCTGAGACTCCCAAATAGAGGCTGAAGTTCCTACTCAAACTTTTAATAAAATGAGAATACTTAGCCTGTAAAAAAACCTATGTTAAAACCTCACCGTGTGTTTTAAAGAAATACAGCATAGCCTTTTTTCTCCATATTCATGCAAGCGGCCCTATCGCCGCCTCCTACATCACATACCGAATATAATCCGCTTGGAGCGGTTACATTTTGTTTTTTGAACATCCCAGTCCCATAAAACATGTTATCATGTGGCAGGAAGTGTCACGGTATCGCAGTTCCTCTATAAAAAGGAGCTATTCAGACTCCTCCATAGGAATGATCATTAAAATGTGGATGACCTTCTAATTTTTTTCCAAATTTACTTAAGTGCAGTAGACCAAACTTTTACACAATTACCACCTTTGTATTTATTCATCACCAAATAAAACTAACTAAATAAAAGCCCCTGCCAAGGCCAGAAGTGCCTGAGGTAGGATCAATGACAAAAGCTGCTTATAAGAAAGGAAGGATTTGCCAGAAGAGATGTTTGTAAAGGTATTAAACTTGCCAAAAACCTAGCTGGGGGAGCCTCAGACAACACTGCATCTGAATTTATTCCTAACAAACAAAATAAACAACAATAAACTTTTACACACACACATAAAATTTGAGACGCTCTCTTTAAAGTGGAAGTAAAACACTGGAATAGGTTTTAATCAATTTTTAACGTTCTTTATCATTAGCAATGAAAGCCTTCAGATTTTAAAGTCAGCGCTGTCAGACATCAGATTTCCCTCTCTTTCCAGTTCCTCCTCTTCTTTCTACCAAACATGTTTTCTCATCAGAGGTTTATCCTTTTCACTCTCTACATCCAAAATACCTGTTCAGCAGACTTCTGCTAGACAAGAGTCTGACATAATTGTGCTAAGAAAAGCCTTTAGATTCAGCACAGCTCCAGCAGCAAAGCAGTCACCTTCCTGAATGGAAAATGAGGTCTGGATAAACTGGATCAGCCAAATTTTGCCAGCGTGCAAGGTGCAGCCCCCACTAAATCATTTTCCAGAAGGAGCCCAGTCATCACTGAAAGGAGAACTGACACGGGGCTACATGTTGCAATGGCTAGGCTGCTTCCAGCATCTGTGATAACTCTAAGGAAACCTATCTGGTATTACAAAGCAGCAGGAAGATGGACTTTAAAAAAAAATTACATTTTCGGAAAGGTTAATCACTAGACAAGCATGCTCATCATTAGAAAAAGGTATTTCTCATTTTTGAGTTGGGAGGGAGATTTAAAGAATGCGTGCAAAGCTTTCAACGCAGATTTCCTATAAATGCTTGCTTCATGGTAAAACAAAAAAAAAAAATCCACACAAAATTCACAAGTTTTCTACAGCAATTTGACAGTTTGCAACTTGAAATACATTTACATAGAAAAGCAAAACAGCTGCTTCCTGACAATTATGCACGTTCCACTAGATGTGCTCCTTCCAACAAGGATCCATGCAAGAGCTAAACTACAGATTTGCAGGTTAGACTTGGACACCTCTTGCAAAGTAGTCAAAAACTAGGAAATACAGCTCAAAGTAGTATGCTTATCAAAACATTACCCCTCCAACTGCTCCCCAACCAGGAAAAACCAACATGCATACTAGAAGCCTGACAGCATAGGTACCAAAACTAAACATTCAACCAAATAAGGTTTACGTTCCAAGAGATGGTTACAGAACTTGGATCAACATTTGTTAACTACCCTTCACCTCTTTAGGGGAGGAAAAAAAAAAGTAGACAAGTATAATCTTCAGCAATTACGTGGATCCAGCATTCTGAGATTTCATGGATTTTCTTTGTTTAAAATTTTATAGTCATGTAGAACACAACTGGACTGAGATATTACCAAACCAAGAGAGCCAAGATGACCAGTGTCCTGCACAGAAGCAAGTTATTTGTGACCTTGTTTCTGCCCTATCCATTTTTCCAACCACACAGTAAAAGCAAGACAAGGGTATGGTTTTATGTTAGTTTTAATGACTAAATACATGTCGTATCTTATATGCCATTACAAGAATGGCTTACCAACCTGAGAAAAGAGTTACTTTTCTTTTTTTTTTTTTTTCTTTCTCCTTTTTAATCTTTTGAGATGTTTGGAGATTTCATAGAACTGGCTAGAACAAGAGGTTATTTTTTTTTTTTTTAAAACTCTTCCCAAGCTTATACATTAAAATAAAATAAATCCTTCCTTATAACGGAACATATAAAGATGGAGTTCACCTCTGCTGGAAATACCATTTTTCATGAGGAATTGGCCACAAGTCTTCAAACAGGAGAGTCTAACTAAATTCCTCCTTTTGCACTGTCTGGTGGTTCGTGAATGATCATTTTTCTGCTAGTCAACCACAGCTTTTTGAGGGCTTGGGGTGTTGGGGATTTTTTTGGCGAGACTGACTGTCCTTTTCCTAATTTTGTTTTAATTCTTAGTCTCCTTGACTAAGAGGTTTAAAGGTTTAACATGGAAAATTAAAAAAAAAAAAAGCAACATGCAAATGTGCTAGGAGTATCCTATTTGACAGTTAAAGCAGTTATTTCAAGCAGCACTCCCAAGACCAGATTTTCCCTTCCCGTCTAAAGTGCATTTTCCTCTGCTTCAGTGGCCCTTCTAGAAAGCTTTCCAAGCTCACGTTAATCACAGTATTAATCACAGATTAGTTAATCACAGTATTAATTAAAAACAATCACTTTTCCTTTAGAAACACAAGGAACACAACTACACTCCATTTAAAGGTGTGTAGTTGAAAATGCCATTAAACTGCTATCCCAAACTTTGAGATGCTAACCGGCTCATGGTAAAGCCACTAAGTTTAGGGGAGCTGCTTTGCCATCAGAGCAACTTGCAACTCCAGCTCTGTTACGTGATCAGTACATTCAGACGAAGAAAATGGTGTTTAAGTTTTAGATGTTGGATATTCTGTATTTCAAAGACTTTTCCAGTAGAGGGAGATTTCTGAAAATACTTATTGACAGTTGCTTAGTGCAACAGTCCTGCAATGTCTAACCATGAATTCTGCATCCTCTGGGTTGCCTGTACAGAACTTGCCACTGTGATCCAATCCTGAGCCTTACTTCCAGCTTCAGACAAAAATCTTTATTCTCTTAGTAGAGCTAAAACTTTCTCTACAAAAAGAAACAGGTTGATGTTTTAAAATTACAGTGGCAGTACTGCTGCTGTTAGAACATCAGCAAACAGGCTTTATTCAGACTCCCACCTTTATAAATCAGGACTACATGAAAAGCAGTCACGCTGAATACCAAACACCACTCATGCAACTAAAACTATCAATATTCAGAAAAATCTCTGAACTTAAGTCTCAGGAAAAAAAGAAAAAAAAGGAAATCCATTTTCACAGTACCAATACTGATTGCTTGTCATGACACAGCGACAGCAGGGAAAATATTTATTTTGTGGGATGTTTATGCTCTTTGATAATTACGTTTCTTCTGCTGAGAGCAAGCAGAAACAAGGAAATACAGTAAGATGGCATATTATTTCATGTTAGTCTAGTCTTTTCTTTATCCAATATAGAGTCATTTATGACATTAAGAAGGTCTTAGAGTACCTTGAAGACTAATGCCTGTGAATCAGACAGATTCACGCATATATGAGCTCTTAAAATACATATACGAAGGCTCCAAACTGCCGATCTATCATGACAGGCTCAATCTACTTCCCGCCTGAAGGAAAAGAAATACCCTAAAATCGTCAAACCCAACCAAAAATCCAAACTCAACACAAGACACCTCAATTAACTCCTATGAGCTGTTCCAAGTCACATTACTCCAACAGTAACCTTTCCGAACTCCAAGATAATTATCTTCCATAATCTAAAGCCTGTTGTCTTAAGATAACAAGGTCCTGTATTTCCTGGAAGCCAACAGTACTATGTGGCACAAACATGGCTTACTTCATAACAAAGACTAAAAATATTTTAGAAATAGAGCCCATTAAAAGCCTCTAAAGAAGCTATAAGATCTGAGACAAAGAAAAAAGGCACAGAAGCATAAAGGAAGTCTTATATATCTGCCGTCACTCCAGCAAAGTCTTATGGGAGTTTTACTTAAGATCATTAGACAACACGACAAAAGACTTTACAAAGCCTCCTGCTTTTAAGAGCTGAAGGCCAAATCTTACCAACTTTTCAGGTTCACCCTTCTAATCAAATCCACATAGTCAGATACAACCCCTTTATGGATTGAAATGCAGGACTGGGTCACGATGATGTCAATGAACAAACAGCTAAACATCTGCAGAACGAGGCTATGCATATTTCTGAGGCGTTATCAGCAGGGTGTAGAAACAGTCTCATACATAAAAAACAAGTATATCTTGAAACAGAAATTGAACAGCTAGATTTCAATGTACCTTTTTCATTTCATTTTCTAAATTTTCTTCCTCTTGACCTTCAGACAGTCGCCTTCTTAACTCTGCTATTTCCCGTTCCACATTTTCTCGATATTGATTCCACTGAGCTCGCTCTTGCTCCGACCTGCGATGATACTGGAGCTCATACTCACGAACAGTCTCTATAAAATAGCATTTCCGAAACTTAATTTTAATATAAGTTACACAAGGGAGCTCTAGGAACTCCATCTCCAACCAGTCAATGACTTATTGTAGTTGATCAAAACTAGGACTACAGTGAACTCGCCCTTCTTTTCTCTTCCCTTTGACTCTCACCCCAAAAAGCAGATACATAAGTAACTGATCCAAACGAACTGCATGTCTACTTGTACCTATGTTAACCCCCCCCAAAAAACTACATATGTATCTACCTGTATAACCCCGTACTTTCAAAATATATCATCCAAGCTACCAAAACCCTACTACTTTCTTCCAAAATGTGGAGACACAGCTAAACCTTCTCATATCTCTTTCATTTCTGTATTGTTAATATTACCACTTCGAGTATCTTTGTTTACAAATATGTACAGCAGCTGGGACAAGAGAGCTTTCATGTTGGTTCACGTATCTACATACATCATAAACGGAACAAATTGTATTTGTAGCAAGCCAGATGAAGCTTGCGTACCCAATATATACGAAGAATTGTGTTCTCTGGGTGAAAGTGTAATCAGGTGATGTGGAAAACTGCCTAAAGGCAACAGGCTGTAGACTCAGTATACTGTGACCCTGTTTGTGCACCTTTAAGAAAACAGCCAGTTGTGACAACAGTCTGCCTCCAGTTTACATCCTGTATTTTGTTCCTGGCTCATAGTTTGGCTCAGAAATGCCAACAGCTGTGCAACATGCAAATGTAGCACAGAACAGCTCAGAACTGGCAAGAAAAAAAAAGAAAGAAAGAAAAGAAAGAAAGAAAAAAAAAACACAGCATGACTGATACAGAGCAGCACATTCAGTCACAAGCTGGGGGAAAAGTCTATGTGATAGTGCTGGAGGGACATTTAACTGTCTGACAGCAAAACTGTGTTTACACAGAAGGAGAGAAAAGAATCATACTGTCAGCCTAAAGCTGTTTTCAGACTTGTAAAGTCACATGTATTATTACGTTTCTTTGTGAAGGATGAAGAATGACATTCTTGGTCCCTCAAAAATGCTTTGCATGTATGTGGGAGTTCCCATTGCCATGTTTCCTTATTACTTCCATCCCCATATTAACAGAAAAGAAGAATCAAGCTCTTTTTGACAAGCTTAGGAATTATGCTTGATACACTACTTCTGTAACCCAGTTTTGCCAAGGCATGAAAAGTATTTATCCATATTCTGTGCAACAGCAGGCACAAATCACTTAATGCACACTAAAAACGTGTCTGATCTTAGTGACTGCAGCTTGTCTGGCTGTTACCTTTCATAATAGCTTGCAGCGAGGCCACTTCTTCTTGCCACTGTCTCTTCACCTCATCAATAGCTTCTTGTTTCGTATTCTCAGATACTGTAGCTATAGCTTTGATGTTCTCCATTTCAGCATGAGCTTCCATTAGCTGTGTCCGCAGCTGTCCTAGATCATCTTGGGCTGCTTGCAGCACTGCATTTTGTCTTTTCAGGTCCTCTGAAAAGAAGTATTATTTCCATTTAGTTTGATTAACAAATTCAGCCTGAAGGGCACCCATAGCTGCTCTGACAAGAGCACTGCTCTAACACGGGGGCAAAGGAAGCACGGGTATTTCAAAAATCTACCCATAGTAATTGAACAGATATTAGTAAAGGTCATTAGAGAACATTTTTTCTTGAATTCCTTTGCCCTTCCCTTTTATTTAAAAAAGTACCTTCTCACTCTTGCAGCTACAAGACAGACACTGCAGATAGAACCTATCCGTCAATAAATGCAATGAAGATGAACTGTGCTTCTAATTATTTCAATATCATTTAACTCAAGCTGGTAACAAATCTGGAATTTCAAAGATAAAACCAACAGGCAGAAAGACTGTTCTTCACCAAGTTGTGACACTAGGTTAGTTCTGAACTTGATAAAACACTTCACGCTTATGCTTCACTTTATATTTCTGGAACAGAAACTCTCTGAACACTACTTGGAGCGCACATAAGAAAACTATGCATCCTAATTTCCTCTTTCCCATATCTGCGCTGAAACTAAGCTTCCATTAAAAAAAAAAAAAGGGGGGGGGGGGGGAAACACATCCAAATAAATTTCCACTACTTCTCTAATTGTTGCAACTATAAACAGAGATTAAACTAATTTCACATTATCCTCCTGAGTATTGAGGCAACCTGAGGCAAAAGCTCTGAAAGATATATATGATACAATTAATTTCAGAAGCAGTAACGCAGAATATATAGTTTTATGTCCACACAGCTCATTTCAATGGCAAACACTTTTAGCAGAAATATCCAGCCAGCATACTAAGCTGTCTACATACACCAAGCTATCTCTGTGTGTTTCCCTCAGTACCAAAAGGCTTGATTAATCCAGCTACCCAAAACAATACCTTATCCATATCCTCTGTCAAGTAGGGTAAGTCACCAAGTTGATTGTACAAAAATCTACAGCTTTATAAAAGGAACCCTGAGCTAACTGAGTACTCAGACAGATATTAATCCTCATGAAAAAAACTTGAGGATCCTTTATCATTTATATTACTTAGTTCTCCAATGACCTCATTAAGGGTAAAAGCTGCCACAGTCCCCATCTACATATAGGAAGGGGTTTCTCGAGGGGTTCTCAAAGAGGAAGGAAAAAAAGAGGGTTTGGAAAAAAAAGAAAAGAAAAGTAATTGCTTGTATATTCTTCCATGGTATCCTTTCACTTTGGTACATGTGCAAGTTGTGAAGAGAAAAAATTACCCAATTTATTTTTACTTTCTATTTTTTGACAGTTCTTGTCTGAAAAAGAGAGAATTATTGCTGATCTCATCAGCAGTGCCTTGTATCTTAAAGTTCCTTTCATCCAGCTGCTAGAAACACAAAGAAATAGGCCTTCTGTATGATCTGCTCTTCATTATGCCTGTTATATTTCTGCTCTCATGAGCTTATACAACCAGCTGCAGTCTTAATGCATTATTTTTTGGCTTTGCTTTCATATGTTAAGGACAAGGAAATCATCAGGATTAGAAGTAAATCAATTTAGGTCTCAGAACAGAAGCTCTCTCTTCTCTCCAGTCCTTCATTGGCTATTTGAGCTCACATGGTTCAAATTTTCCTACAAAGATTGTTTTAGAAATAAATGCCCTTGGCTGGTATTAAAACTTTTACAATGTCTGTCTGCTTACATTCTTGCTCAGACTGAAATTTAAGACAAATCAATACTACATAAAAAAGCTAGCCACAATGTACAAACAGCACATCAATAAGATTGTCTTTTTCCACTTACCATTTCAGCTGCTGCTCAAAAAGAATGAGCATAGATCATAGATCTACTGTAGAGAGTTAATATTAAAACTCAGTGGTGGTGTTTTTGTATGTATATCAAGTTGCTCTGCTGACTCCTATCTGTACAGGCAAATATTTAAAGTCATTCTAAAAATTCATTCTAGGAAGTTAAATAGCCAGCTATTGGCTTTTACTCTCTGACTGTCCAACATGTTCTTATTTCATCTCTGTTTAACAGACTACTATCACCTTTTCACCTTTGGCAAATCAGATATAGCAACAATACCATGTTTCACAGATCACACTGGCTATGCAGCCAACTATCCCAGTACTGGAAGAAAATTCCTTTCTGCCTTCATTATCCTCAGCCAGATAAGAAAAGAAGTCATGTTCTGTGCATGGGCAAGTGGTGAGCAGTAGCTAGCATTATAAAGGTTATTCTTCATACAAGGATTATTTGAAGTTTAACTAAACTTTAGAATAATTCAGAGAATTTAGAACTCACCTTCCTTAGCTAAGTATAGCTCCTTAAATTTTGCTCTCTTTTGATTAAATTCTTGCTCAAGTTGCTGCTTTGTGCGCAGGAATTCAGCGTTGACCTTTTCCAATTCTGCTACCCGTTGTAGAAGAGCAACTAAAAAACAAAACAGAAGATAAGGTACATCATTAACAGTTAAGGTATGCCATTCTGCAACTTAAAAGTGTAACCCCCAAACCTTAAAAATGTCTTTATTCGTTAGCTCAGCTGCTGCCCCATGATAAGTCAGGACAGCCAGTGAGAGTCCTTTAAGTGACAAAGGATGATTGTCTGCTTTAGACTGCAGCACCAAATTCTGATAGATATCTTCACAGCAGTAAAGGCAGGGGGGAAATTCTGTGGAAAACAATCAAGCTGCCACAGAGAAAGATAATTTTGTACACAGAACGAAGGGAGAAATTCCAAAAACAGCCAGAAGTATTTCTATTGGGAGCTTCTTTCCAAAACCCTGGGAATTCAGTTACCACGCACAGGACCTTCCCCTCCTGCGTCTGAAGGCAGAGCACCCAAAGCGCTACGTTCTCGAAGGCTGAGGGCAAGAAAAACCACTACTGATCTAATAACTATGGAAGAACAAAGCACAGAAAAACCACGAGCTAAAATCAGATGCCATATTGTCTTCTCTCTTCAGTTCTGCACTTTCACTAAAAGAAAGTTTCTCAGACTACATTCAGACAAGCTTGCCAGGGATCCCAGTCTATGGAGGCATAACTGTTCGTGAGATCAGATCCTCTTCATTTCTAGCAAAAATATCCTGAAGGTATCCAAAGTATTTTCCAGTATTTACTTACCACATAAACGATTGCTCTGGTGGTATGACAAACAAGGGGAATGGTCGGAAGTTGTTAAGACTCCTAAAAATTGCTACAATGTGCTCACTACTGAAAAAGTTATAATGCCACCCTATGAAGCTCTAAAGATCCCACCAAGTAAGAAGCACAACTGACCCTGGAACATTGATCTTCATGGGCAACATTAACTTTTTTGTATCTCAAGAAGTAGCGATTTGGTTTAGGTACCAGAAGGTTTCATATTGCACGCTTCAGCACTCAAATACAACACACAAATAAAAGACAGATAACCTAGAATAAAATCTACTTCCATACTATATTGCCTTGAGAAAACAACGTGCCTTTAAGCAACTCACTGTCTGCTCCGCAAAAGCATTTTATGCACATGTTCCAGCTTCATCATGTAGAAAAGCTGAATCACTTCTTCTCAGTTATAGTCTCTACAGCACAAGCTAGATAAAACTTCTGATGGGTCAATATTTTGTGTACGTATCACATACCCAACATACTTCCCACCAAAAGCAAGGGCTGAAAACATAGTATAAAGGCTACTCAACTTCAGCAGCATCAAACATTTAGACTTGCAAACAGGTGGAATCAGAGCTAGGGCTTACAGTGGTAAAACTCTCGACCGTCAGCACCACTGAGATTTTGTGAATTATATTTATTTTTAGTATCAGATGTAAGAGCAGTGCCAGAGTAAGAGATCTTTTAAAATCACAGCTATGTTTTAACAATTGCCAGCTACGAAAGCTTATGGGGTTATAAAATACAGTACTTAATCTCTCCAGCTCAGTATCAGGAGGCCTGTGGCTAGTGGTGTCCCCCAGGGGTCAGTCCTGGGTCCAGTCTCGTTCAATGTATTCATCAATGACCTGGAGGAAGGAACAGAGTGCACCCTCAGCAAGTTTGCTGAGGATACTAAACTGGGGAGAGAGGCTAACACCCCAGAAGACTGTGCTGCCATTCAGAGGGACCTGGACAGGCTGGAGAGGTGGGCGGAGAGGAACCTCATCAAGTTCAACAAAGGCAAGTGCAAGGTCCTGCACCTAGGCAGGAATAATCCCATGCACCAGGACAGGCTGGGGGTTGACCTGCTGCAAAGTAGCTCTGCCGAGAAGGACCTGGGAGTGCTGGTGGACAACAAGTTAAACATGAGGCAGCAGTGTGCCCTTGTGGCCAAGAAGGCCAATGGGATCCTGCGGTGCATTAGGCAGAGTGTTGCCAGCAGGTCGAGGGCCTGTTCAGCCTGGAGAAGAGAAGATTGAGAGGGGATCTCATCAACGTGTACAAGTATCTGAAGGGGGAGTGTCAAGAGGATGAGGCCAGCCTCTTCTCTGTGGTGCCCAGCAACAGGACAAGAGGCAATGGGCAGAAACTGAATCACAGGAAGTTCCATCTGAACCTGAGAAAAAACTTCTTCACTGTGAGGGTGACAGAGCATTGGAACAGGTTGCCCAGAGAGGTAGTGGAGTCTCCTTCGCTGGAGATATTCAAAACCCGTCTGGATGTGATCCTGGGCAATATGCTCTAGAGGACCCTGCCTGAGCAGGGAGGTTGGACTAGATGATCTCCAGAGGTCCCTTCCAACCTCAACCATTCTGTGATTCTGTGATCAGATTTAAAGGTATACCTGGATACACAACTGAAGAAATTATAATCTTGTTCTATTACCTTAAGAATCAATACATCTGTTTTTCTGGCCAGCATCCCCTACATGGATTGCACAAAGTAAACTGCAAAGGGGTACTCTCCCGAAAAAGAAAGAAACCTGCAGGAAAGACAAGATACTGAGCAAAGCTCCAGATGAGTTAGGAAAGCGGCTGGACCACAAACAGGAAACGAAATAGCTTCCACGGAGCCAGGCCCAGGCAGCAAGAAGGCTGAAGAGTCGCCTTTGATCAGTTGCTGAAGAGATCAAAGGGAAAGGGCTAGCCTGTGCTCCCACTCCCCACCGACTGCTGAAAGATGCTGATGCTGCAAGCAACAGCCGCTGCACTCGGCCACGAGGCCAGGGGGCTCGGGGGCCTCCCGGGCGAGAGGGAACGCCGACGGCGCTGCAGCCCCGCGCAGCCTCCACCACCTGCAATTGAGACCTCCTGAGAGTGAAAAGCACTGCTTTGCTTCAAAGAGATGGTTTGGATGTCACCGCTTGAGCTTTCACCGGGAAACTATCACAGGCACTGAAACTCAGGTGAGTTTTACACCACGGTTGGGAGCCAGGCAGCTAAACCCTCGGGATGCGGCCGAGGAGGCAGCAGCCTCCCGGCTCAGTGCGCACAGGTACAGGCAGGCAGGCTTGAAGACATGTCCACTAACTCAGAACAAAACTAAAAGGAACCTAGACGTTGCTCAAACACACACAGTATTTCAAAGACCACACAAACAACCGATTAATTCCACGACTGCTAATTCTGAAAGTTATAAGTCACAATGTTTTGAACTGCAGACAGCAGCAAGCCTCCCTCCAAAAAGGCTCAAGTCCTCCTCGTTTACTGCTATTCCTTTCCATCTTTCCTTCGCGGAGGGACGGCAGCAGCTGTGCCTGCTCCTCTCACGTGGAAGGAGTTGTGCAAAGCAGCAGAACTCTATTTCTTTTCAAGATTAAAGGCTCTGCTGAGGATGGAAGGAAGGAAGGACTCTGAAAGAGCAGATACTTAAGTGCTTTAAGCTGTGGGCCCAACAGGTTCATAGCTTTTAGATCCTCCCACCCAACTGGAAAGAGGGACCACAGGCGTCACAAAACAGGAAGTGAAATTTAAACTTCAAATATTTACCTTTTTACAGCATTCCCCTTCTCTAAAACCTGACAAGTAGGTGTAAAAAGAAAAGAAAAGAAAACAAAACAGAGCTGGGGCTGCTATCACGACCGACAGCAGGCACGCAAAAGCACAGGGGAAGATCACAGACACAGGCAACTACGCGTTAACATTATTCTTTTTACTCAAACATTAAGTTTAAAGCGGTTTTAGCACATGTATTGCATATGCTGTTTGGGACCTACCAGACCGTAGCTTTCTGAACACGGAAGGAGCGTTTTTCACTAACGGCATACACATTTCAGTAGTATAAGAGGTTATCTTGAGAACAGTAACAATTATGTAAGAGGTCAATGCCCCTGAAATGCGTCTGCATTAGAAGTAAATAAAAAAAGGTTTACTTTCTCAGACATAGTTACAGCTACGCTTTTTCTTCTAAGTATAAATTATTAAATTTTCATAACAGTGGTTTTCTTACACATAAGTTAGATTTGTATGACAGAAATACATATATACACTTTACTTTGCAAAATGAAAGTGTGAGCCCAAAGTCAAATCATCACATGTAGGTAACTGCCTGCAGGCTAAACTATACAGATCACATCTGCCTGGAAACGCCCTAACAGCAACGGCAAGAGACTGAGTAGTAGCAGATTTTCATTTAGGCCTTTGTCATGTACAGCTGAACTCTACATCTGAATTTAGGTCCAAATAATCTGTCTGCAGCACAGCTGAAGACAAGAACTTTGTATTTGCCATCATAGACTATCAACTTAAAGCAAATCAAAAAATAACCCCCTCCCTCCCCCCCGCCACGCACACACATTTTGGAATGATCATACTTGTGCGTTTGCCAGTCGCTGACGCTGCGTTCCCATTTCCATGCACAGAAATGCAGTCATCAATATTTAATGACACAGATGAAGTATATAGTAAACAAAGCCTGAGAGATGGTCAGCTCTTGGGGAACTATGCCCGACTGAAACAGGATCTTCTATTACACACAAGGGATCAGACACAGGCACAGGACATGCTGTATTTCTTAAGAGCAGCAGCATGGAAGACCCAATTCCCTAATTAGGGCCCTAATTCATAAAGAAAAATCAAAAACCCTAAAGACCCAATTTCTTAACTCCTGAAATAGCTCGGAGAAGAATTTAAATTAAGATTGATAAGCCAAATTGAAAAACAAACAAACGAAAAGAGAAGACACTAACTTTGGCCAACCATTTAGTAGCTGTATACAGGGCTCCGGAGTAGCCAGGACAAACAGATTACTGATGACGCAGACATGCCAGTTAAATTACTAGCTTTGTTTCTAATGAACAGCATGATTTTGCATACAAACCCTGTCCCCATCAGCAGCAGGGATCACCGCACCATCTCCCTAGCTAACCTCGCAGCAAAGAGCGCTGTATTCTCTTAGGGGACTCAACCAACGAGAGGGACTCAAAGCAAGCGCAGTGAAATTACTTTAAGAGTAGAGTCATCCATTTTCAAGAAAACTAGGAGACAACACTGAGTATGCAAACAAATACTCCGGTGA